TGCGTCTATGATTTCAATGACTATAAGTGAAGTTAAACAGGAAACGGAAATAACACCGAAATTGTTATACATCTTCCGTTTAAGGATAGAAAGAAAAAGAAAGATTAAAAGCAAGAGAAAGAGAGAGGGAGAGAGATAGATAGTTAGTGATAGAAATAGCGTGAGAAGGGGAAAGGGAAAGAAGAGATAGTAACAGAGTCAGTAAAACAGCAGGGACCGGGACAAAGACAGAGACAGTGACAGAGACAGAGACAGAGAGGAGAGCAATTTACCAAAACAACTAACGGCAGCTGCAGTATGTTCATAAATAGAGTTTTAGTCAAACATTTCAAGTGAAACAAATTGATTTTGCACGCGTCACTTATGTTAAAGGATTTACGTATGCAAGCCCAACGCTTTTTGTTACTATATACGGTATATAAAGAAAGCAAAATACTTTGTCAACATTTTGCTTAGTTTTCAAAATTCTTAATCAACTCGTGTCACTTTAATTTGAACAGCGCACATAATTATTATTTAGTAATCTTGCGAAGAAGAAACTCTGGCCATATGATGCCTCATGACAAACAACAGGAAATGAGTTTTATATGAATTTTAAGCGAAAATTCAACTTTTCTATACGTTTTCGCCAGGCGCACAATATGTTAACGTCAAGGTTTTCAAGGTTTTTTGAAGCGAAACATACAGTTTCAGTTATTATTATTGTTGTTGTTGTTGTTGTTGTTGTTGTTGTTGTTGTTTTTGTTGTTAGTACTTACTTTTCCATAAACATTTGAGTAGTTGAGCGTTGGGAAAAAGTTGTAAAAACAATTGTTACGTCTACATCCGGTCTAAGGATTCACCCGAACTCAAACTTGGTTTATCGTGTATTAAAAAAAAAAAAGGAAAAAAAAAAAATAAAAAAAAATAAAAATAATAATAATAATAATAATAAAGAAAAAAAACCGACCCCATTTTACAAATCAGTCTGCTGTTGTTCTCTCACTCTCTCCTTCTCTGCTCTTATCACTGTTCACGTTGTGTTCATTCAATTAACAGAAATAAAACCTTAACAAAAATGAGCGAAGAAAGAAAAAAAAAAAAATAACCCAACATAGAAAAAAATCTCAAACAAAAGTTGTGAAACCCATACAGCCATGAAATTGCTTACGAGTCCCCAACAATGCTAACAGCCAAACAACCACAACAACGGCACGTTACAGCTTACAGCTTTACAAAAATTGCAAGACGCACACTTGCATACATTAGTACCATATAACTTAAATACACACAAACAAACAATGAAACAGGCAGACATGCATAGAAACGCTCATATCAAACTAACTAAACATACTCGAATAAGTCTTTGTTTTGTGTTGTTTTTCCTTTCCTTTCTTTTATTTATTTTTTTTTATTTTTCTTCTTTTTTTTTCTCAAAAAATGTCAGTAAAAGCGTTGCAACGCCATCTTTATGCTTAGCGTGTCAGTTATGCTGACTGACTGACTGACTGACTAACTGACTAACTGACTGAATGAATAAATGGTCGTTAGTTCTTCAATTACCACCAACCACTTTAGTTAGAGGTGCTTTTTTCTCCTCTAGTTACCAAAAAGTTATGCTTTCAAGCAGCATTTCCGCTTGAAAATTCAGTTTTAACAAGCCTGACTTTAAATGCGAATATATTTAAGTGCAAGACCACTTTACCCTTTGATTCTTTTGTTGATTTCAAATTCAAGTTTTCAGGTCAAAAGATTCTTCACATTTTTAGAAGAGTAATTTTTATTTTTCATAATCTAATAAAAACTAAATATGCGATGATTATACCTACACTCATGCACACCATACGCTAAACGGCCTTTGGCAAGCTTACGCCAAGGCTAAGTATTATAAATAAATATATCATTCGTGAATCATTTTAAATTTGTTCACTTTTCTCTGTCTGCCTTTTCGTATCTTGGTTCGATCATACGCGGCATATAAATGTATACATGAATCATTATTTAATATAAAAAAAAAAAAAAAAAATGTATTTTTCCCAAGTACCGCCAATTAGCTGATGCAGTAATGATGTAGTCAAGCATACTATTGCCCCTACACAAGAGCCTTGGTTATCTTCTCGCCTGCTTCTTACGCCGTCATTTTAGCGCACATTTAGTTAAAGCTACAACCGATGTTGATATTTGATGTACGCAATTATCGCAAAGGCAATGCCGACTTACTTCGCATTGACTAAATCGAAACAGTTTATCTAATAGAACTTAAATAATTTTTCAAATTAAAAAATTACTTTCGTTTTTTATCGTCCGAACGAAAAGAATTTCTATAAGCAGAATTGATCGCTAATAAGTTAAGTATTGACGATTTTTATGCTAAACATGATACAACTCAGAAACTTCTTAATGTGAGACATGCTCGTAGCAAAACACATCTGACTTTTGATAACTTTCGCTCCGTGGGTAACAATAATGCAAATCGATCAATTCAACAATTGAGTTCAGTCAAGCGATTAATGCAGATGTGCCTTTCCTCTCTAAAAAGAAAAAGCAAAAAAAAAAAAAAAAAAAAAAAAAAAAAAAAAATGAAAAATGTGCTCACAAAATAAGGGGAATGCACCTCAATATGTATATTGTAGAGGAGTATGATCCACCATTAAATACACTACTCTGCCGTACAAATATTCCTATAGGGACTTTTCAAAATAAGACATCATATGGAAAGCATTTGAATATGGGGTCCGATCCGAGCCATTTTCAACAGCGTTTCTCCAAGAGGCAAAATACATCGGTGTACCAAGTTTCAATAAAATATCTCTAAAATTGGGACCTGCAGCTTGATCATAAGAAAGCAAGGCGAACAGGCGAACAGACAAGTTTAGACCGATTCAGCAAGCGATTCTAAATCTATTCGTATAATAAAAGATGAGTCTATCCCAATGACGACTGCATACATCCGCACTGCTTAGTATGCCCTTGTACGATAAGTGACGTAGGGTGTAATGAAGGATATATTTTATGAGTACAAAGTTTTTGGTTTTCCTCAGGGAGTTTAGTTTAGTTTTTTTTATCGATCAAATAAATTGTTTGAATTCTGTTAAAGGAAAATGAGTTACTCCTGTCTTCTTTAATGCACGGCCCGCATGTTTACATGGTATTTCTGACCAATTGGTTGTTCACACAAACTTGCCTAAAGTGAGAAGGGAATGGTGGAATCCATTCTTTTTTCGAATTAAACCCTAAATGTTAAAATTTTAACTGTAAGATAAATTGAAACGAACTTGTTTACATCATTTCACTTACAACATAATTATTTACGTTCTTCCTCTTTCTTTTCGTATCGTTGCTTTTTTTCATGCCATTCACACGCCAATGATATCACAAGTATGGCGTTCTACATACACAGGGCTTCACAAAACCTCTCTCGACTCGAGACGAATTGACGCGTACCAACTCACAACTTGAGTCAAATACGCATTCGACAAAGGCAGCTGTAAACTGACCGCATTGTCGACGTTTTATTTACAGCCACTACACTGAGGGCACAAGAAAACCTTTATAATGCGTCCACCACTGCAAGAAAATTGTCATTTCGTAGACGTAAGGCATCGAAGGTTTGTTTAATAAAGACGTAACGACCACAATTACTTATAACGAAAATCCTATATTTTCCAAGTTATGCCCCAAATTTGACTTGTGCGCCTCAAGCCAAAAACTTAAAAGGGGCAATACTAACTAGGCCAATAGCTTCCAATGGGCTAAGTTAGATATTGAAACTATAAAGCATTTGCATTTACAGCAAGAAGCAGTATGCAGACAAGTGAAGAATCGTCTGAGGCCTTGATTACTGCGATTAGTCTTATTAGCGATGAAACAATAATAAGAGAATCTTTAAAGGATGTTTTAGGAAAATGTCTGGTGTCAATTCGTCGGTTCGGGCTATTGTTGCGGCCCTTCCATTTACCATTTGTTAACCCTTCTTATAAGACTTTCATAAAAGTTTATGCAAACGTGTTTTAAAGATGCCAAGAGAAATCATTTCGAAAGCGCTACGAATTGCACAAATACATAATCGCCTTAAAAACTTTATTATATATCGCAAAAGAGAGAATTTATTTTAGTGTAAATGAATTTTGAGATTATATATGGTAGCAATTGCTGCCCTATTAGGTTACAAAGTTTTTGAAATAATTTTTTTTTTTTTTTCTTGAAAATTTTTTTCATTTTCGTTATGTATTTATTTATTGACGCCATAAGAGCAGATGTTAATCGTAAATATCCATATCGGAAGAACTAAAGTTAATTTCGTGCAGAAATTTTTAATGAAAAATCGGTTCGATTTTAAAGATGTTTATGACTTGCTTTGATTTCTATTCATTTTATTATTTACTTTTGTTTTATTTTTATTCACTTTTCTTAATGCACTCTTACGTTCGTTCTTAATAGGTGTTTAACGTGTTTTTCCATTTCCGTTCGTGCGACTTTTCTTAACTGTTTCTCCATGATTTCTGATCCTTAAACTGTTTCCCTTTAATTCATGCGTTAAATGATTCTTAAGGTTTAATTTATATGGCAGCCGCCAAATAACCATAAATAGCATTTAATAGCTTTCAGTTTTACACAGTGATACACATACATACACACATTTATATATATGCACAAGCATACGTAATCTTTAATATATGAACATATCACTGAAATGGTCATTGGGTTCTATTCTGTTGGTCTTTCGTTATGCTTCAAGGTGATTTTAATTACATAAAATTAATTTGGATTAATGTTTACCAGCAAGCTATAAAGCGAGAGTAAGAGGGAAAGAGAGAGAGAGAAAGAATTAGGAAAGAAGAGGGCTACAAAAGAGTGCTGAGTGAAAGCTACGCCATAGGAGCAAAAATGCTTTTGATAGCCATATAATATATATAATGGCTTTGATAAATGTGTACGGGATTATAGAAAATGTGCGTAAATTAAGATTTTTTCCAGACTAATGCAAAATATTTATATTTTTTGCTTTTATCTAATTTCAGGTATTAAAGATCCTCATCTGGAAAGACACTCAAACAAAGGTACGTATAAAAAAACATATATTTATATATATATATATATAAAGCATAAAAAAACAGCCTAAAATGTCATAATCAGGCAAAACTGACTGTAAAATACCGCACACTACGTCACCCAACACAATTGTTTAGCTGTCTATGTTATAATATAACAAGAAGTGTACTTTGTTATCATTTATGAGGGTGTCCTCTGCAAGCGATGCTCTAGATGAAAGGGGTTCCGAAAAATGGATTAATATGATCAAAATTTATTACGAATTTTCATATATAATACCTGTTATTCGTACCAATGTTCACCATAAAATGTTGATGTTTAAATGTTGTTGCCATACAACCGCTTATTAGTTGCAGGGGCGTTTATATATTTGACAGAGAGGCAGGTGGACAGACGAACAGACAAGCTAAGATAGATTCAGAAAGTGATTTTGAAACGGTCGGTATAATAAAAGTTGAATCTATCTCAAGCCCATCTGGGTGCTGCATACGTCCGCACAAACACAGTACACTCTTGTGTTATATAAACAGTGTAGGGCATGAGCATCCCGACTTCTAGGTTGAACGCAAATACACATGACTGCATATCTGACTTAATCGATTTATTGTAGAAAATGTATACGAATCGATTAATAGTAGTATAAAGCATGATTCTATCTCAAGTCGTTCTTATACATATTCGAATAAGGCCACGTCAAGTTCAAATCATCATAAAGGCAAGTCATCACAAATATTTCAGCCACTAGGTGCTCCATACATTTTTCGCAGGTTACTTAATCTATGGTATGTATATAGTTTATCTCCTTTAAAGAATTTTCTCTACTTTTTTTGTACATTCAGGTACAGGTGCAGGTGCAGTATTGCAAAGTGCCTACGAACGCAGGTCGATCACGTTACTCGAATTTGACATTAAGAGATGTTAGTAAAGCAAATTAAGTTCTTCCAACCACTAATTAATTGCCAGAATACTGGAACTAATTTAAGGGATTTGTTCATCTCTTAAGATCTTTAGAGTTGTTTCGATGACTTTTAAGTTATCAACTTCTAGGCTTCGTAACCATTCAACATTGGCAAAATTGAGTTAAAGTAGCTTCCACTTTCCGGCCTAATCTGAATTATTAGGGTTTTTGCAATCTTTTCAACGCAAACAATTTTCTTCTGAAGTAGAAAACTTGATCCGATCTCTTTCTATTTTGCAAAATTTTTCCCTTGTAAAAGTTGCGGAACATTCAGATTCGATAACGACATCTTTAGACGTTAAGTAATGTATTGAGCGATGCCGTAATTCGCAAAGTTGTATCAATGTCTTTTACGACGATGTTTGGAATGATAGAATTGAGTCGTTCATTTTGAAAATGACTTAAGTCCAATAAGCAAATTGCTTAACCTAATTGTCTTAATATATGTGTTTCCGTGCGTGCTTTTCATTTTTAAGCAATTACGCAATTTTCTCTTGTCTCTAGAATGTCGATCGTTACTGACTAAAGGCAAGATGTGAGTCAACTTTCCGATACCGATACTTGATGTCTATTCTCAAAAGTTTGACATTTCTTTTTCACTACACGCTGTTAGACCGTTGCGTAAGACTTACGCAGAGATTTGAAAAAAAAAAAAAAAAAAAAATGTAAAATATTTTTCGCTATAAAAATGAGTGAACTATATGACGATGACATTATTATTGTATGTGTAAATGGTTATTGTAATATTTAGGGGGTTATTTTAATTAAGTAATAGAAAATTTTTCTAAACTTAGAAAATTGCTTTATATTTGATTTTTATTGCGAATTTATTTTACAAAAGAGAAGAAAAAAAAAGATATCCGGCGAAAATATGAAAAAACCACTTCAAACAGTTTAAATTTTATGGAAGTCTGAGCCTCGTGTATCATATACGTGCGTGTTAGTTAAATTAAACTGAACTCGTAAACAAAGTAAATAGGGGGATAAAGTTGTATGTTGTGGTTTTTTTTTTTTTGTTTTTGTTTTTTTTATTTGTATGCTCAATAATGAATAAAACTAAATTAATAAATATATTAAATACATACATATAAAATTTTAGATAGTAAATATGATAGGCATCCATCCATGCATCCATGCATCCGTTCGTCTGTTTAACACGCAAAACGTTTGCTTCTTACGTTCCCCAAATTTTGTGGTTTGTTTTGTTTTAAGAAGAAAAAAAACAAAAAGAAGAAAAAATTATTACCGTATAAATAACTAGGAATATAATAAAAGCCAAAAACAACAACAAAAATTTAATGTAAGTAAATGCTTTTAATACGGTTTATGTAAAAACTAAAATGTACACTCACACACTAGCATAACGAAACGCACACGCACACATAAATTCACATATAGAGATTGTAACAAAACACCGAATCGAGCAGAAAGGCCAGATCTCTTAGCCTTCTTAATGTATATTGAAGCCTTTAAAACGCAATCAAGCCAAAAATTAATTAAATTTTGTTTTTTTTTTTTTCCATCCTTCTATACTTTCACTCTTTTTGGGTGTTTTGTTTGTATTTATTTGTTTTTTTTTTTTTTTTTTTTTTTTTTTTTTTTTTAATATTATATCGTATAAACCGCACACACAAATTCTTCGAATCTAGGAGAAAGTTTTTTTTCTTTCTTTTTATTAAATAAAATTAATTAATATATTAAAATGTGTATAATTAAATAAGAAATCATTCGAGGAAATCTTTGAAAATTTCATAAACGCTACACAAAAGCCTTTTACAAAATGCCAAGATATTTTTACCTTCCTTCCTTTCATCCTTCCTTCCTTCCTTCCTTCCTTCCGCCCTTAGCGAATTCAAATCAAATTTTTGACTTTTATACAATAAGTACGTCGTGTAGCTAGCTACGTTTGCGTTAAACACCTTCATAAACACATTTTGATACGCTGGGCAAAAGTTGAAAAGTTTGAAAATCGCCAGGATGAGAACGAAGAGTCCATAGCAAGGATAAAGAGTGAATGAGTAACATTTTCGCATAGCAGATATTAAGATTAAGATGTTAAATTGTTAACGTCTTTCCTTTTAAGCAAAACAATTATACCATAGTTGAAGTGGTTGCAAGAATTAATATTACTTAACGTTGAAGCGTGTATTTCTCTCAGATTTAAATGACAATCTGCGACAATAATGTCTTTGGAGTTAAGGAAAAGGGCACACGTTACTAAAACATGACTGAGTTTGTCGAGTGAGAAAGTGAAAAATTAAAAAAAAAAAAAAAACAAGATAAACTAAGAGTTGATAATTTTATTAAACCATTATCTAAGATCGCAACGAAAATCGAGCGAATTTCGAACTCAAAATGCCTTAAAACATTTGTGGAACGAATTTTATAACAGTCTCTCAAGATGTCCTCGTATCACAAATGCCAACTGGAAAAATGACTTTAGCATCATCGGTAATGATTTGAAATTAACGTCGCTACAAAGTAATTTTGCGAAGTTTGCAGCCTTCTTTTAGCTAAGTTATAGACCACTGTCCGCTCGTTTAAAGATCCCTTTGTTTTCTTTGCCGAGGATTCCTTTAAACGGCCATTCACTTCCGTATTTGTTGTCTTTACGTCTGTTGGCGTTTCAGAAGGCAATCAGTTTATCTTTTGTATATAACTACGCGTTTAGATAACGTGAGATCTCAGTTAAAAGAAGCTTCTAGCACAACGCTGAGTGATTCCATACATAAAGTATAAGTAGGAACATCACAGTCAGGTAAAAGTGATCATTGCACAATTAAAGTATCGGCTGTCGAGGGCCAAATTTTGTAAAATTGATTTACTTGTCAAGGATTTTACCATTCTTCACTTCTTTCCATTACACAAAACAACAAATCACGCTTCGCGCCACAACAATTCCTACCTCGTTTGATAGGATCTAATCTATAAACCTATGTGATTCATATTTCCCACAATCAATTTCTAAGCCAAGTTATTACTATGATGCACTTTTCAAACACAAAATATTAAAAATTGCTTCTTCTTTTTTTTTGGTAAAAGACTTCAGGAACTCAATGCGGGATGAGGTCTAAAAAGTTGGCCCATAAGATTTAAAATTGATCTAATTAATTTTTATATTAAATTATTATTATTATTATTATTATTATTATTATATGTCATATTTTATGAGAATCCTTAAATCCGTTTCTATATGTGTACAGCTATTTGATCCAAATTTCAGAGAGTTAGGTTTAGTATCAAACTATCCCTATGAATTAATTTTCACCATAAACTATCACAAATCGGAACTTTTTTCTTTTTTTGGTTTAGAGCATTTATACGGGATCAAATCAAACAAATAGACAAAAGCGGTCCAATTCGGTGGGTATTATGTATTTCACAACGAAATATTGGAAATTAGCCCTTCTTATGAGAAGGCGTTTCAAAAAATTGCTCCATTCGTTTCAAAGTTTTCACAACAATTTAGAATGCCGAACGCATTATATGTGGAGCGGCCGAAAACGTGCCCCGATCAAAGCCAATTACTCACGGTAATCACAAAGTCAAGTTTGAAGCGATAACTAATATTTTAAAGCTATCGAAAAGCAGTCTATTCAGTGTTAAAAATTTAGCCCCGAGACAGTTGCTTTCCAACTCTCTGCATCGAGTTTATTCAAAGCGGAAACAATATGTCGCGTAATCCGTTTTTTTATTTATTATATAACCATTCACCTCGAATATGTCCCCCTACGCGAGTAATACACTAACGGCCAGAAAGAAGTAAGGTAAGAAGAAGAGAAAGAGATAAGGAAGCAGGTGAAGCCCAGTGTTATGCCTTTCCCAACTAACTACTTACTGTTTCTACAATCAAAGTACCCTCTTCCCCATTGAGCTTTGAATCCATTAACACAGACTTAATAGTTGCGGTTCTTACTTACTTGCCAACTTAAGCGTGCAGCGGTTGACTAGATTGGAAAATTTTCATGAATGAAAATTCAAGTTGCTCCCACTGTAGATCTGTCCCCCAGCAACTACTATCTGCTTGCGAATTTCAAGAGAAGGTGGTGG